AACTTATAAGAAAACAAAACTTCTTACAGTTTTGGAGGCTGGGAAATCCAAGGTCCAGGGGCACAACTGGTGAGGGCCTTCGTCATGGAAGAGTCCCATGGTGATGCAGGGTATCACATTGCAAGGGCTGAGCAAAAGCCCATTTCCACATGCTTTCTTCCTCTTCTTAAAAACCCACCCTTCTTATCTACTCCCTGATAACCTATTAAACCATGAACCCACTAATTCATAAATGGATTAATCCTAATCATCTCCCAAAGGCCCCCAAATACTACAGTGAGATTTCCCACTGTTACAATAGGGATCAAATTTCAAAGTAAGCTTTGGAGAGAACATTCAAACTGTAGTAGATGTCAGTAATTTTGATTTACCTTATCTTTTTAAGGGCTTCATTGTAGTCCATTGTATGGATGAGATTTCATTATCTGATCCCCTATTGAGGGACTTTTGGGCTGTTTCCAATCATTGTTTATTACAAAGAATGCTGGTAACCATTTTTGACCACAAATCTTTGTACTCTTGCAATAATTTCTGAAGGATAAATTCTTGGATGTGGGCTTTTTGGGTCAGAGAATAGATACCTCTTAATTTTGATAAATTTTGTCACAATGCCATGCATGAGTTTACCAACTTGCACTGCTTTCAACAGTATGATAGAGTGCCCTTTCTTTCAAATTAGTACCAGCTCTGGGCATTGCCAATCTTTACTTAAGCTGATAGGGAAAATGAACCTAAAGCTTTTTAAATTTGCATTTGTTTAATCAATAGTGACTCAGGGTCTGCTGTCATATGCTTACTGGCCACATGTATTTCTTTTCTTGTGTATTCAATATTTTCTAATGAAGTATCTATCTCTTTATAGAATTATTGGAGCTTTTATATATTAAGAATATAAGCACTTTGTCACATATTTTGCATGCAATTAAATTTTTTTGATAAGAGCAGAAAATATTAAACAGGTTTTCGTTCATAAACTCTGTGATTCTCCACCCCCCCCCAACCACACAAAAAACAACAAAACTCCACAAAAATGGTGGTTATTGACACTGTATTGGTTCCCTAGGGCTGCCATATCAAAGTGCCACAAACTGGGTGGCTTAAAATAATAGAAATGTATTCTTTCACAGTTCTGGAAGCTGTAAGTCTGAAATCAAAGTGTTGGCAGGACCATATTACCTTGAAGGCTTCTAGGGGAGGATCCTTCCTTGTCTCTTCCAGCTCTGGTAGCCCCAGGTATTCCTTAGCTAACAGAAGCATCACTCCAATTTCTACTTCTATTGGATGGCACCTGCCCTGTACGTTACTTCTTTCTCATAAAGACACCAGTCATATTGGATTAGGGCCCAGCCTAATGACCTCATCTTGACTTGGTCTGTAAATCCTATTTCCAAATAAGATTACATTTACAGGTACCAGGGTTATGACTTCCACGTATCTTTTTGGAGGACACAATTCAACCCACAACAAACACCTACCCATCATGAAGTGTCAGCTATCACTAGCATGTTATAAACACTGTTAAGGACTGGGACTGGGTAGTCTTGTTCCATACTCTACTCTTCAGTTCTTAGCACAGTGTCTGATATGTAGTGGGCATTCGATAATGATTTCTTAAAAGAATTCGGATTTCAAGAATATCTGGCTTTTCAGACATGAAAAGATGTGTATAGCGAACAGAAGATGACAGATTCTTTTTCTAAATTTACATTAAACAATTTGTAATTGAAATACTTGCAAGTGGGGAGAACTGGACAGTCCAGAGAGGGACTAGCTCAGCTTTATGAAAGGGCACGTTAGCAAAGGTGTGTTCTTTAGGTTCCCCAGGCACCTGTCCTGAAATGAGTCTTTGAGAATGTGCAGAAAAGCACTCAGACTAGAACCATATTTATTTGTCAGAATTATTACATTGTTAGAAAAAAAAAATAGCCAACAAAACCCTTAAAAATACAAATTTATTTTCTTCATATTGTTAAATATAATCGTCAATTTATTACATAATGATGGAGAAAAGAGCCTAGCATGCCAAATAAAGGTCAGAGTTTGCTCCAGAAAAAAAATAAATTTCCATTAATATAGGACTAACAGCCTCCAAATGATGCTGAAGAATTCCTACATCTAGCCTTTCTTTTTTTTTTTTTTAAAAATTCATTTCCTGAAAAACATATATTACTAAAGTTAATTTTTTAAAAGTCAAGAGTTTTCTCTGGGAGTTGATATATTTTATCTATAGTACCTTTACTTCTCCCTACTACGAAAGTATCACTAAAGTCAGTCAAATGCAGTTGTATGAGGCTCAGCCTAAAACACCTGCTTTGCTTTACTTTTAGTGGCCATAGCTCTAATCCAAGAGCAATGGGCCACTGTTCTAAGTCTTAATGTACAGCCATAGAGATGAGGTATTTCAATTTGAACAGAAGCAACATTTTGATCCGGGCACTTTATCTGCACTCATACAGACCTGGTCTGTGTGTGCAAAGGTGAGCACCAATACCAGTATGCAGATACACATAGTGCCGGTTTTGTGTGACCCGTGTAGTCACACAGGGCCCCATGCTCGGAAGGGCACTGTGCTAGCTTTAATGCTCTGCCGTTGCCATCCTGAGTTTCTCAATAATTTTTAGATGATGAGCCCCACATTTCCATTGTCACTGGGCTCTGCAAGTTATGTAGCCGGTCCCAGATACATGTAAAAGTTGCTTTGACTTATTCATCTGACCTCTGATCTGTGTTTAAATGTGGCATTGAAGATAGAGTTGTGGATAGTTTCCCAGGAGCAGGATAACCCTGGGTCTAGAACATTTTCAAAGGTGCAGAAGGTGTTAGTCTTGTAATTCACTGGGAACAGCAAAGGAAGAAAGCACATGAAAGTGATTTTTGTTTTATGTGCAAGTCTATAGAGCTGAAATTATATCCTCACTGGAATATGAAAAAGTCAAGTCCAATGTGCTTGGCTGGCTATTATTTATAAGAGTAGTGAAAGCATTCTTTTCTGAATTAGAAAGCATCATCCTTCCTACTTTTCTTCAAAAGAATGGTAGGAAATAGTTGGTCTAGAAATGTCATTAAAATGTCTATCTTCCATTTATAAGAGGAATAAACATTTCAGTACAGTGCATGGTCTTCTGTACAGGGGGATGGAGTGTGATTTTAAGAGGACGAGTTGCCAAGGAAGAGGAGTTCTTTCTAGATACCTATGAATTTAGACAGGCTCCATGGGCAAGGAAAGACAGTTGCCTATACCTTCAAAGGCTGTGCAAGGCTTCTAACCTTGGCTGTGTGTTAGAATCACTTAGAGTACTTAGAAAAATACTGAAGTCCAGGCCTCAGGCCACACTAATTAAATTATGACCTGGGAGTAGGGCTCAGGCAAGGGTATTTTTAAAAAGTTTTCCTGTGATTCTTATTTGCAGCCAGGGTAAAGAACCACTGGGCTTTTGCATACACAAAAAGAAAGGTTTAGGCTATATCAGTCATCTGTTTTGAAAATTTAAAAATTAGAAATATATTTATATCTGATTGTGCTTAATCACAGACATTGTTAACATGGAGTTATTTCTATGTAATATATTGACTATAGGTAATGTGCAATATTTTATAAATAATTTAATGATCTCTCTCTAAGGTTAAACAACACTTCCAATAAATAGCAAGATATTTAAGAGAAGAAAATATTTTTTAAATAAGACATTTCAATTATTTTTAGGAAATCTGAAGGATGGATAAGGCAAGTAGTGTTCTTCCTAACTTAGAATACTTTTAAAATATCAAATATCTTCTTCCATTAAAAAAGAAAGAAAAAAACTGCTCAGACCAAAATTTAAAATTAAGGCATTTGAAAACTAATTCATATTTTCTAGAATACTTCCTTTAATAATATACTTTTTAAACATGCCACTAAATGTCTTTACAAATACGTACTTAAAATTCTAGTAATCCTAGAGTAGAAATTCTTTTTCAACCAATTCTTGAGTTCTAGGTTAAAGGTGTCCTTGAAGATTTCACACATCTGTAAAAGGTTGTGGGAGGGCAGCAGCTGAGGACAAAGAGAAGCAGAGAAAAGGGAGAAAGGAAATGTACAGGCATAAAAGAATCCCTGTAGGTAATTCCTGTTTCTATGCTGGAGTAGCTATTCTAACTGTACTAGATAATTCACTCTGTGGGCAGAGTTGAGACAGGAGGTCTCATTTCTGTTTTTCATATTCATAACCCTGGAACCAAACCTGCATATAGGAGGGCCAAGGCACGAAGGTTCAGATTTTCCCTTTTGTGATTGTATGTCTCAGTAGTACACTGTAAAAGAATCTAACTGCAAAAGCCACTCAAAAGACTAACTGGCTTTCCTTGCTTTTAGCACATCACTAACATCTGCAGACACTGTGGGGATGTTTGGAAGCATCATTTAAGGAATGAGACAAAGGTTACAATGATTACATCTTTTTCTGTAAACAGCTTGAAGGACACAAGGATAACCAAAATTGAGGGTCAACCCACAGGCTGGCCAGTTAGCTCACTTGGTTAGAGCCAGTGTTGATAACACTAAGCACTGGGATCAAGGGTTCAGATCCCATTACTGACCAGCCACACACACACACACACACACACACACACACACACACACACACACACACAATATATATATATATATAATATATATATATATATAAAGAGAGCATAAACCCAAATGAAAATAGATGTCACCAATTATTCTAAAGAATTTCCAGAAGCACTCAATAATAAGATAGTCAACATATCAGGCACTATAAGGAAGTCATTAGTCTGTTTAAACTTATAATATAAATATTTTCCAATATTACCAAGACAAATGAGAAAAAAATGAACCTGCCAATAAGCCTAGCACTGAATGTTATCTAACAAATCAGCAAAGCCACATTTTTTCCTCCAGGAAGAGTTCAGCTAGGAAAGGAGCGACATTTCTGAAGTGCCAGCTTTCACAATGTCCAATTGCATTCTAAATCCAAGTTCTATGACTGACATGCTAATTTAAAGCTTTAGAATATTTATTTTTAATTTTAGCCCAGAGTATTAGGCTGAATGTTTCTCTCCTTGTTTGATGCCAAGAACAAGATGGAGGAACCAGTTAAACTGCACGGTCCATCCTTTGTCTCTGCAAACTTCAATCTGATCAAGAAAATACTTTTTAGCATCCTCCTCATTTTTCCCCACTGTTAAGGCATCCCGGATATACTCAATATCTTCTTTGCTTGTTAATTGGGGCATCCCCGTCATCAGCATCATGGAGAACAGGATGATCAGTAGGTTTGTGTGATGGCGAAGGGCTAGATAAGCCTTAACACAGACGTCCTGGGTAAAAGAGAAGAAAATGCTGTTACTATTTGCAGTAGCAAGCAGGCTGAAGACCGCTGGGCTGTATTAAAATTTACATAGCATGACCTGCCCATGAGAAGAAACCATCACAAACAAGGTAGGTCCCTGCTTCAGATGAAAAACTTGGTAAGAACACAAACTGTTTTTATAATCTCTTAAACACTTTAGTTTGTTGCATATACCCAGGGTGTGCTCAAGGAAAACTAATTGATACAGATAATTTTCATCTTATTTCTTACACTACCTTTTTAATTCAGTTTCCTTGCTAGGAAACTGAGGATGGAAGTTTCCGTGGTCTCTGAAGAGGAATGAATCAGTTTTTGAACACCATATTGGGATCAATAAACTTTATGTAAGCATAAATAATGTTTGCCAAGAGCTAATGAAATCCAAAGAAATGATGGAAATGTGGTGTTCAAGATGTAGTTAGTTTTCATTTTTTACACTTTGTTCTATTCTAGGAAAACATATAAATTAGTTTTTCACTGTCTGATTCTCAAAATTGTTGAATGAACCTTGGAATTTTAATACTAATTCTGAATATTGAGTGAGAGAGAGGTCTTTAAAAAATGCTATAGCTGACCCCTCCCCAAGAAGCTTCAGAGCAGGTGATACAGGTGAGTTAAATCACTTCCTAGGCAACAGGTATGATTATGCAATTTAAATTGTTCCAAAGCATAGAAAAAGATGCAAGTTTCCCAGTTTTACAACATGAGAATAACCCAACCTTAATACCATAACTGGACAGAGATAGCCAATTAAAGAAAACTAAAGTTAATGATTATAGATATAAATATTTCAAATAAAATATTGAGTAAAACATTAAAAGAATAACACACCATAACCAAACTGCAACAAGATCAGCTCATCATAGGGTAAAACGTCCACTTCTGATTTTTAAAAAAGTAACATGTAATTTAATGTCTCATAAAATGTAACAATGTGAAGAATTATCTGAAATTACCAAAATAATTGTAAATAGTGAAATACTAGAAAAAGAAATAAAGTATAAAATCAGAAAAGTAAAGGTAAAATTATTAGCATTTATAAATGGCATAACCGTCTTCTTGAAACACTGAAAGGAAGAAAAACTCAAATATTATTGTAATGTTTTTAATAACCTATTTTTCAATAAAAATTAATAAATAGAATGCTGTAATTTGGAAACACAAATCAGAAATTATAATGAAAAACAGATGCTGTCATGCTATGAATAATAGTAATAATAAGATAAACACATACACAAAACATGCAGAACCCACTGTGTTTTTTTGGTAAGAATTAAGTTAATTTTATTTCTATTTCTTCAACAAATGCTTCTGTAGTGCTCACCACGTGACAGGCATTCATCTAAGGCTACATATTATATACGCTAATTTCTCATGAGCACAACTTGCGTGTGTGTGTGTGTGTGTGTGTGTGTGTGTGTGTGTGTGTGTTTTCAAAGACTTTATTTAGGGGCCGGCCCGGTGGTGAACTCGGTAGAGTGCGGCGCTTGGGAGCATGGCGGCGCTCCCGCCGAGGGTTCAGATCCCATATAGAGACCAGTCTGTTCACTGGTTGAGCGCGGTGCGGGCGCGACACCGAGGGTTGTGATCCCGTTATCGGTCACGAAAAAAGACAAAAAAAGAAAAAAAAAAAAAAAAGACTTTATTTAGGCATAATTGTCATACAGTAAACTGCGCATATTTAAAGTGAACAATTTGATCAGTGTTGACATATTTATACACCCATGAAACCATTACTACAATCAAGATAAACACAGCCACAACTCCCCATAGTTTCCTCCTGCCCTGTTGTAATCCATCCCTTCTGATCCCCCTGTCACTCCAGGCAACTACCGATATGCTTCCTTTATAGATTTATTTGCATTTTCTAAAGTTTTGTATGAATGAAATCAGACTATGTAATTTTTTGTCTGGCTTCTTCAACTTGGAATAGTTAGATTCTGAGATTCATCAAAATAATTATTGTTGCATGTATCAATAGGCCATTTTTTTATTGGTAGATAGTACTCCATATATGAATATACCACAATTTTTTTTAACCCATTCACCTTTTTAATTTAGCCATATTAGTGGGTGAGTAATGGTATTTCATTGTAGTTTTCATCTGCATTTCCCTAATAACAAATGGTCATGAGCATCTTTTCATGTGGCTATTTGCCATCTGTGTACCTTCTTTGGTGAAGTGTCTGTTGAAACCTTATGACTTTTTAAAAATTTCTATTTATTTATTTATTATTGTAACATAGTTGATTGTACATATCTGTGGGGTAGAGCTGAGTATCAATACCTGTCAGAACCCATTTTAAAAAACTGTTAAACTTTACTGAGTCACATAAAAGAAAACTTGAATACATGGAACAACGTAACATGTTCCTCAGTTCTGCATATTATAAAGATGTAAATTATTTGGGAGTGCAGCGACGCTCCCACCACGGGTTCGGATCCTATATAGGAATGGCCGGTGCACTCACTGGCTGAGCGCGGTGCGGGTGACACCACACCAAGGGTTGCAATCCCCTTCCCGGTCACGAAAAAGACAAAAAAAAAAAAAGATGTAAATTATTCTCAAGTTAATATATAAACATAATGAAATTTCAATAAAAATTCTTATTGGATGTTTAAACCAGATATTGTTTAAGTTCATCAGGAATAGTTAGGGCCTGAGAGAATATTTTGAAATAGTATAGTAATAAAAACCAGTGCTTGCCATACTAGATATTAAAACATTTTATAAAACTACAATATTAAAAACAGTATGAAGGAGTATGTATTCTTTTCCAAAAAAGACAAGAAATTTTGTGGAACAGAACAGAAAGTTCAGGTAAGTACATAATAAATATATATATAATAAAGGTGACTTAGATTTGTGGGGAAATAATCTATATTTGATAAATGGAGCTGGGACAACTGGCTTATCATTTGGGTGAAAAATAAAGTTAAATTTTTACTCCATATGATATATTAAAATAAATTGCAGATGAACTAAAGATTTAAATGTAAAAAAGGGCAAATATTTAAATAATCATGGAATGGGAAAGAACTTTAGGAAAATGACTTCCAAAGTGGTATCTATAAGGAAAAGATGGAGAGATTACAGAAACTTAAAACTTTCAAGAAAAAAGGCTATAAATAGTACTGAAAGAGGCTAATGACAAAGAAGATGTATTTGCAACATGACAGATCACTTCCCCATCACCACCCCCCCAACAGTTATTACAAATCAGTAAGGAAGAGATAAATATAGTTGGCAGAAATACAGGCCAAGGACATAAATGAGAATTCACACTATAAGACATAAAACCAGAAAATAAACCTATCAAAAAATATACAACCTCATTAGTAATCAAATAAACATAACTTAAAATGAGATGGAAACATTAACCTACGAATTGAAAATTTTTCTTTTTTAAGTTTTTTAAGGATAATACCTAGTGTTCACCTTTCATAGGCTGATGGTAGATGGGAAGAGGCACAAGGATACTTCGAAAAGCTCGTGGAAGAGTAGAATTAAAAAATAATATGAATCTAAAAAAAGACAATATAACGGGGCCAGCCCGGTGGCGCACTGCGCTAGTGTGCCACTTGGGAAGTGCGGCAGCGCTCCCACCGAGGGTTCGGATCCCACATACAGACCGGTTCCCGCTCACTGGCTGAGCGAGGCGCGGGGGCAACACCGAGGGTTGCGATCCCGTTGCCGGTCCCAGTCCGGTACGGGGGCGACACTGAGGGTTGCGATCCGTTGCCGGACACGGAAAAAATACAAAAAAAAAAAAAAAAAAAAGACAATATGAATCTTTCCATGAAATATTTGAAGATCTCTCGTATAACTTTACCACCAGACAATTTGGTAACATTCATCAAAAGTTTTAAAATGCTTATAAATGTCATGTAACTTAATTGTGGTGGTGGCTACATGATGGATGTGTTTGTTAACGTTCATAGAACTTTACACCTAAAAAGGGCAAATTTTGCTGTATGTGAATATGCCTCGATAAACTTGACTTTGAAAATATCTGTGTTGTTTTACCCAGCAACTTCCATGCTTGGAACATACCTTTCAAAAAACTAGATAATTTTGCAGCGATTTATCTACAAGGGTGTTCATTAGAATATTACTCAAAATTATGGAAACTTGAAAGCAAACTAAATGTTCTACAATAGGGAACTGATAAAAAAGGTTCATGAAATGTACCTACAATTGCATGCTCTGAAACTAGAATGATCTCGTAGAGGAATATTTAATAAGCATGTAAAAGTGTTGGTGTTAAGAAGCAGGTATAAAATGTAGTATCATCCCATTTGGGTAAATTAATACAAAATCTTTACATAGAAAAAATATAAGTTCACAGGTCAAAATGTTCATAGTGATTTTTCTTTTTGCTTTTAGATAATCTTGTCTGTGTCATTCGTATGTGATAGAGTAAATGCAACGATAATTGAGGTCAGGCCTGCATCATCCTGAATGTTAAGGCTGGACTGTGTATGTATCACCCTGTCCAAGTATAAGAACCCATGCACTATTCTGGCATCTTCTAAGTGAGATAATATATAAAAAATGTGTGGCATGGACACTGGCACATAGCGAAGGCTCAATAAATGTCAGTCCTCTGCCTTCCTTACTGTTATCATGAAGCAGGAGACTGGAACAGACCCAGGATGTTCTAGATGCTGTCCAGGCATCACTTGCCCCCTGGAAGTGGCCCCAGTGCATTAGTGGCCTTGCATTCTTAATGACTCTACTTATGTCTGGAGATGATTTTTTCAGCTCATCTGTAGGACCTACCGAGGTCTCTCTCATTTCTTGGTAATTACGCAGGCTAAGTGCAAACTTCACCCCAGGCAACAGTCTCATTAATTTGCCAACTTACGCAATTTTCACAAGGGCATAGATGGGGATGCCTTTTGATTTTGGATTAGAGTACATTCTAATTTTTAATCATTTTCTATCCTTCTATACACTGGGGGCTC